TCTTTGCTCAGGAATACAAGCATACAGTCTAAAATGACTTGTATGACTGATACTAGGCTACAGTAACAAGGTGCAGAGGAGATCTAGAGATCTGGTCCATTCCACAGTTCTGAGTGGAGAACCAGAACCAATCCTTAGCTTTCAATCTGTTAGAGAACCTGTGCACTTCACCTGCTTCTGGATCAACCTAGAAAAAATGACATTGCCAAAAGGTGGAACCTGTAGTCATCAAATCTACACTATTTCTTTTGAATGTCCTGTTTATGAAGAAGTAAAACTCCAAATCTTTTCTGTACACGGTAACAGAGAAAAAAAACTTATTTAGTAAGTAAACTGTCATCTGAGTAAGACTAGGGATTGAATAGTGTTTATCATGAGTGGAATAGCCTGACATACCTGAGAATTTTTCTTTTTTTTAGGGTCATGCCATCTCTTCAACAGAAAAACAAAAGGAAATAAATTACTGACAAAGTATGCTAAGTTTAAGGAATTCTAGAAGAACCGAAGTCATAAATGGACAGTCATTTCTGGATGGAAAGCTTTTTCTAACACTCTCAGTGAAGTGCTTTAAACATAGTATGTCTCATATGATCAAATATTTAATATAAAATAAAATCTCAAATAAAAATTTCATAAAAATAAAATATCAAATAAAATCTCAAACACTCTCAGCATGATAAAATGTGAACTTCCACCATCAAAAGCTTCTGTGAACTATGAGGACATTTCCACACCAATTGAGTGGACTGGTAACCCTTTTTTCTGTGTGCACTTTTGATCTGATGGAAGATTTGTATAAATGTTGACTAAGGTGCTATCACCTTTATTGTCAAGAAGAATTGTGTTTTTTTCATAAATCATCAATCCACCGTACAAAATCATGCAATGCATGATACCCATTTTTACATGAATGAGGTTCCTTCAGAAGCTGCCCAAGTATCCAACTTATGGTCAGGTTCTCAGAACTTACCTGATGAGAGGATAGAAAGTATTTCCATATGCCTTCAGTGTAAAACTTGAAATCTATGAATGACGTAAGTAATTTGAGATTTCATGTAGATAATAAGTGTAAAGAAAATGCTTACAACATTACATTGGAAAACTCAAATTGTGTATCGTGGGCTATGCATAACACCACCTTTCATCAGACATACTTGTCCTTTTTTGTACTGTTTCAAGGTACTGATTGCCCCTTTTTATTGGCTCTTTACCAGCATTGTAGTGTTTATAGTGATATTTTTCAATTCAGTTGTCATAATAATGAAGGAATTGGGTCCAAAAGCAGGAGATATCTAGTTTTTTTAAAATTATTACAGCTAATGAAGGTCTTTTATTTAATAAATGCACGTATGTAAATGTATAAGCAGTTTTGAGGAGGCTTGAGGTTTGATTTTTATGAAGTTTATAGTTTGAACTTCATTGTCCACAGATTTAAAAAATAAATCTGTGTCTTGGTCATTACTTGATGATTATCATCACTTGAAATAGTGTGGAGATAGGAAAGAGATGGGAAAGCTGCTTGACACTAAAGATCCATTTCATTCCAGAATTGCCAGTGACGATAAAATCGTAGTCCCCTTTAGAAAAATCTTAGATGACTAGTGGAGTTATAATCCACTGCCTCGGTGCTTGATATCTCTAGCTGTTCAATAATATTTTGGTCTCTGTATTGTCAGAGGAGCTAACAACTGTTATATTGCCTCATAAATTTTTAACATGCATTCTAAGTTCTTACCTTGTGCACATATGAACAGAAAATAGCTGGTATTTTTAGGACATTACTTAAGGTTAAAAAAATAGCTACTCAGGTAGTACTGCAGCCTCAAATACAGATGCCTAAATAGAACATTTGAAGTGCCTATCTTTTATTATGGTGAAAAATGTAAACAGGACTCTCTTTCAACTGCTTTCTCTGTTGGTGTTGCTCCTTAGAAGACAGACTTGGCAGCTATATGAGCCAGATATCAAGCTCTGGAAGATTTTTGAAGTGTAGCATCTGCATCTTGGTTGCTCATTAAAAAACAATAACATTTTTGGTTACCTAAATTTTAGTTGAACTGTTCAGCGATGATCAAAATCATATGATATTTTTCTTTTGTAGTAAATGAAGCTGTATATTATTATGGTAGATGTACAATTTTATAACAATTCAAAAAAGCTCTGAGTGAAAACTTTGTGTTAGAGATTAATACTATGCAAGATATTCTGCAAAGTGCGTTTTGGCTTATATCAAAATATGTAAAAGGGAAATGGCACCCATTTTAAATATTCCTCTGAATAGTCTTTGGCATAATTGATGGAGATCCTGGTACTGTGCGATGCACTGAATCTAAGTGGAGACATAAGATGATCAGTATTACCTACAATACAGATCTTGTCATAACCTTGAATCCCTAAATTTGGAACTAGGCATAGATAGTGAACTGAATCTTGATTCTTGTTTAAATCTACACCTTTTATCGAACACTTTTCTTGCAGGTTGCTTTTGTGCCTGAAAGGATTTCTTCCTCAATACACATACAAACGAATTATGGGAAGGTCACTATTTCCATGAATGATTTCCTGTTGCAATCCCAGTGATTTAAAGCTGTGTGGCACACATGCTGATGGCAGTGCTGATGATACAAAGCAGCAAACATTTCTTTTCATGTAGGCAGAGAAGGTAGAGATGATTCGATGGTGAAATATTTATAGGTATCTTTTAATAAATTTGTTAATTATTTAGGGGATTTGCTTTATATTAGAAGTGCCTAAATTTAAAAAAAAAAAATTGTCAACAGTTCCCTAATTGTTGATGGTAGAAAGTGGGAGGTCTGGCTACTCTTCAACTCATTCCAGGTTTTATTTAAGCAAAGAAAACACAAATCTTTTTCAGTAGGGTCATACCAGTGCTGTATCTCTTCAGCATTACTGAGATAATTTGCCCTTCCTTTGACATACAGGCTCCCTTATTTATAGGTAATTCTGTTGGTGTAACAGTTCTTACGGTTCAGCTGAATCCCCTGAGATGACAGAGAACAACACAGTTCATGAGAAGCAGAATAAATCTTCCTGTGAAATAGTTTAGGCAAAAGCAACATGGAATCAAAGCAAAGTGGAAGAGGACTGGAGAACTATTTTTATTTTTATTTTTATTTTTTAAATAAAGGATTGTTTCATGTTGTACACCTATATGACATGACTAAACCTAGAGCTTCAAATAAGGTAATAAAAGAAAATGTTGTTTAGTAGTGCATAGTGTTACTACATTTAAAGTAAAATATTTCCATTCTTAGCATAAAAGTAAGAGATGTCACATCTGTGATTTAAGAAAGACAAGGAGAACAGCTATTATTCATATGGACTTCATTAATAAACAGCAGTATCTGAACTGTAACAAAGAAATAAATCAGTGCTCTGAAACTCTAGCTCAAAACTGAGCAAACAAAAAATGAAGTGCAGGTAACTGTGTGAACTATTAGTTTGATAACTGATAGCGAAGCACTAGGACAGGTTAACATTCTCATCTGCCAGAAACCTTGAAATTTTCTGAACTGGAAGCAGGTGAGAATAAGGAGGAATGTACATGTCTCACATCCGGCTTTGACAGGAAATCTCCGAGCCCGATAATGAACTTGACTTTTAAAGATGCTGAGACAGGGTGAAATTTCTGTACGTATTCTGAGTGGAGAAAATGCTAAATGTGTTTTAATCAGGTTAAAAAATTGGACAGACCTCTACATATCAGAACCCGTGGGCTCTTGAGCCTCTAAATATATTACCTTTGTCACTGAAACTTAGATTTGGACATTTTAGAAAACTCTTCTCTGTAGTTACTTTTGCAGAGAGAAATGTTAGACCTATAATGCTGTTATAGGGCAAAAATATTCAAGGTAGACCTAACCCATAGCTGTCTTTATATTAATGTATCCAGTGATATATACAAATAGAGAAATTAAAGGTAGAAAACATCTGCTCTGTCACCTATTCAGCTCTCTCAAGACAGAAAATACAAGAAAAGTTAATAGTGGTGTAAAGCTTCTGCAACTGCAGTGGAATTTGTTAGCGCAACAAAGTATGTTCAGGATGCAAGGCAGCTGTAAACAGTTTGTATTATTTCTGGGACTTCCATTTGTGAAAGGAAATTGCAGTTTAACAGGTATTTTAGCGGGCGGACATCCTGGTAGACTGCTCCAGCTTGGGGTTTGTTTTAGCAGGGGTACCATGAAAGAAAATTTTCAAGGCATTTTCTGTTGCACATCGTTCCATATCATCAACTGATGTCTTCTAGATGGGGAACTTTGCACGGTATGTGGTTGTGTGGTACATTGTGCAGAAGAGCGCTGTTGATCTTTATTCCTTTGTAAATACATAATCAATTACAGATGAAGTCAACTGATTGTGAGATTGATTTTGAGAGCATATCTGTATTTGCCTCTTTATCTGCCTTCCAAGTGGTTTAGTTAAACTTTAATATCTTTGCTGGAGAAAAAGTTTAAGTGATTTTAAATGCTCCTCAGAAACAGCACAGATTTCTTCTTTGTAAAGGTTTTAACCACTGAACTAAGGGGAGGCACAGCATCAAATCTTTGAAAAATGAAGTTAGTCCCAAAATATTGAAGAAATGCATGAATTGTTGTACCATATCTCCCTTTTTTTTTTTTTCATAGCTGAATGATGTCAACATACTTCTGCTTGGTATTTGTAGTGACCCTGTATATGGCACCATATTTTAGTCTTTGGTAGTAAGTATGAAAGTCAGGAGTGTTCTTTGAAGCTTCTGAATTCTACCACTCATAAGGCTTTGCTATCAAACCACGCTGAAAAAAAAGTGGACGTTGGATATATTTATCTCCATGAAGCCTTCTGCAAAACCATAAGTTCTAATTCTCATAGAGAGAATGTTTAAATGGCCATGTAAAACAGTCTAGATAAGTTGATAAACAAATTGTTTGTCAGTTTGCTAAATAGGATTAAGTTACTTCATGTACTTAGTTTCTGTATATTTCTTTATTTTACAGGGAAACAAAACTACAGCTGCTCATTTTTGATTGAGATGATGAGTGACAAGACGTTGTTTCAGTAAGTATGCATCTTGTTTATTCTATAAGAACATAAGTATCATGTGAGATCTTTCTCTTTTAATGTAAGTTCAGAGTTAGTTGCTTACACTTAAGTGACCACATCAGTTTATCTGAACACAGTGCACTTGTGCTTTTTTTATATACTGAAGGTACATTATTTTCTTTTCTAAGCACACAGACGTGCCTTTTGGTACTAAAAGGGTTCTAGTATTTGGCATCATTGAGTGAACTGCATCACTGCTAATAGCTGGATATCATTCACATACCTGAGATATGTTATTTGTAAGACCCATTAAGTGTGCCAGTTTGTTTATAATTAAGTAATTTACGGCTTTTGAAGAACTACTAAAGTGGTTGATATAAACAGTTCATATCACACTTGGAAATATGTACAAATAAGATGGGAAAGATTTCAAGTGGATCAGTATTAAGTAGAAAGCGTATATTTAAGCTTTGAGAGTGTAGTTCTGTTTCCGTAATTGCATGGATAAGACTAATTACAGTCATGTAAATAAATCTGTTCTCAGTGTTTTGTGAAGTATCTGTCTCTGCTATGTGTGGAGACAGTGATGAAAAAGGAAATCTCAGTGTTTCTAATCCAAGCTAATTTGGTTGCAGCATCTTTTTTCTGGATTAGAAAATGAAATCCATGTGGTGTTCACTGCTTGGAAAAAGAAAAAAAGTAATAGGATGCAATAGCAACTGTGATCAAAAGCAAAACAAACATTGCCTGTTTTTCTATTATCTAACAGTGATAACAGCCATTTTGTAGGGAAAAGAACACAGCAACACCGCAAGGAAGAAAAATGTTTAAAGGAAAAACAGTAATTGTATGAATGAGGGATTCATGATGCAGTAAAATGCAGAGAGTATTATGAACTGGATAAACAAGTGATATAAATGGCAAACATTTAAAAATAATTTTTATTTCCTTGTTTATTCTACAGTTGGAGATTTTTACCCATTGTCCACTAGAAAAAAAAAATCAAAATGATTTTGGATGATCTTAGAAGGAAGCATTTGTTGTGTTAGCCCTTGGTAACATTGCCTTCTCTCGCCACATGAAAGGAAAGCTGCTGAAGACAAAATAGCAGTAAATTCCTATGTCATGAGATAATTCTCGTCCGCTTTCCCAAAGTGTGTGTGGTTAGAGATTAGAAATTCAGCTGAGGAATCAGATCTAACTCACTGGGGAGTAGTTTATGGTGTGTGTGATTAAACTACAGTGAATCCCACGCGTGAAGCCATTTCTAGACCTGGAATATCTTGACGGAAAAGATGTACAGTCTTGTGGCAATAAATAAATAAATAAGGAAAATAACAATGCTGTCCCTCACTTAAGTGAGGGTAACCTTCAATTCAGATGGCTCATGCTTACTATTCAATAAGTACACTATTTTCTTGTTCAGAACTGTGTATAACATCTGTTGGATGTCCTCAGCTGAAATTTTGGACTTTCAAGGTATTCAAAAGCCAACTACGCCCAGTTGCAGTTGGAGAACAGTCTCACACACAGGTCGTAGCAGAGGATTGGCTTCAGTCCATATTTATATGTTCTTCTCTGTTTTCAGTGTCTCACTTCTCACGATAGGATTTCTCAGATATAGTTTTCCTGTCTCTTTGCAGTAACTCAGCAGCACAAAGCATCCAGAAGAAAATGTGAGGTTGTAACACACATCGTTTTCTGGGGTTGCCCCTTAAATGACATCTTGAGGATACTCTTCCTCTGCTGTAGTCCAAAAGTATGCAAAATATCCCATGTCCTCCTGGTCTGATTGGGAAACTGTTTTATGTTTTTATCTCTGTTTAAGTTTTTGCTATGTGAAAAAAGAAGTAAGTACAAAGTAATTTTATTCTCTAGAGTGCAATTACTGAATAGGTTGATAAAAAGATCTTGCACAGAAGAATAAAGGGCTTAAAAAGAAATTTCATTTATGCATCCTCAATCCAGTAACCCATACCTTTTTCAATATTATGCTATTGATAAATGTCGTATCAGTTTGCTGTTTCCCTCAATGTCTTAATAATTAAATATAGTAGAAGTAAAATTCTGTGGCCTTTTGTCTGAACCTTTTTCCTCTGGGGGAAAAAAAAAAAAATCTCTGAAAAAAAGGAACACACACTCTGGAACCTCTCTGCGAGGCCATATGAAGTTCCACGTAGCCTATTCTTGGTAAGGTCTTACCATCGAACACCTGAAGAAGGTCTGTTTCTGAAGTGAGAAGATTCACCTAGTGTGGAGAATTTCTGATCTTCTATTCTGCTGTCCTACTGTTATCCTAGGGACTAAGCATTAGTGTAGCAAACTGTCCTCTGGCTCTTAATTAGAAAGATCAACCAATCTATAATTAAAAAAAAAACAAACAAACACATAGCATTATGACTGATAAGGGTCACACTTTGGTTTATATCAGTAAATCAACCCTGGGATATTTTATACTTTAATATTAATTTACAAGCAATATATAGAGCTGTGCATAGAAATATCAAACTAAGCAGATATTTCAAAGTCTGAAAGCTGAGTAACTTCTCAGCTTTTGAGATGATTTTTATTGCTGCTATCTTTAAGCAAAGTGTAACATCTGACATCATTTATTATACCTGAGTGAACAAGTTGTGAAGCAAGTTCAAGGGGGATCATAATATAAGAATCATAGATCAGCTGAATACATACCAGAGCAGTAATATATTATTTTTATTTACGCATACTGGCAGCAGCAATAAGGAAGCTAAGAATTCGTTTCTGCATAACAAATATTACATTGTTGAGATCAGAGAACACTGCCATCACCCTGAAAAAGATGCTGGCAGTAGAAATGAAATTAATAAACTAATTAACTCGAACTTCACTTTGCCAGACAGAAATGAAATTATTTTTACAGAGATGCTGCAGGTTGTTGAAACACAGATACCCACTTTCTTTTGTCAGCCAACAAGTTCCAACTTTGAATCCTAAATGTAGTCCTGGAAACATCAAACATTTGGGCCCCTCACTACAAGAAAGATATTGAGGCCCTGAAATGTGTCCAGAGAAGGCCAACAAAACTGGGGGGTTCTGGAGCATAAGTCTTATGAGGAGCGGCTGAGGGAGCTGGGATTATTTAGTCTGGAGAAGAGGAGGCTCAGAGGAGACCTCACTGCACTCTACAACTTCCAGAAAGGAGGTTGTGATGAGGAAGGGTTTGGCCTCTTCTCCCAGCGACAAACAGGACCTGAGGCCACAAGCTGTGCCATGGGAGATTTAGATTAAACATAAGGAAAAACTTTTTTTCTCAGAGAGTGGTCAGGCACTGGAATGGCTGCCCAGGGAGGTGGTGGCGTCGCCGTCCCTGGCAGTGTTCAAGAGGCATCTGGATGAGGCGCTAAAGATATGGGTTAGTAGCTTGTGGTAGCAATGGTGATGGGAGAATTATTGGACTAGATGATCTTGTAGGTCCTTTCCAACCTTGTGATTCTATGATTCTGTGCATAGCATGAAAGCATCCATGCGTTTCAGTGCATATCTTCATGAGTAAATGAGTAAGCTTGCTTACTAGCCCTTTGAACCTTATTCTTAATATTGCCTTCTGTATGGACAGAAAGTTAAAGATAGGTAAAGAGACACACTATGATCTCTTCATATCTGTAAGTAGTCTGTGAAGTTATCATTTTTTAAAGAAATTTTATCAAGGGGAACAAATTCAATTGTCATGTAACTGTCAGGTAATTGAGAAGTCTTTTAACATAAATGATAATAAGCAAAATTCTGTACCGATCAAGTTTTATAGGTGAAGGTACCTAGTAAACAAGTAACTGAAAAAATGAACGTCATCCACCACTTCCTGATTATGTTATATGCAGAAAAAGAATAATGTTCTTTTAAAAAAGAAATTCTGCTCTGGCAGCAAATGTTTATAGCTGGTCCTTGAATATTTATACATAATCAGGCAATGTGGCAGGTTGGATATACTATCCATAGTATACATACATACATTTATATTTTTGCTTTGTGAAGCAAAGAGACATATGGAGCAGAACTAAAAATTTCTAACAAAAATCATAGTCGCATATATGAAAAAACAGATGTTTAGATATTGGAAAATTAAAAAAAAAATCTATTTCATTTTAAAACTGGATAAAATATGTAAAAATGCCATAAAAAACAATGAGAAACTTGATGCCAGTGTCTATTAGTCCACAAAAAGTAGAATGCTGGGAAGTCCAAGTAATTTCAGAGTAGAATTAGCAACTCAGGGTACCAGGGAGCTACTGTTAACGTTCCGGTTTGAAATAGTAACATGCTTTTAGCAGTGCCATAAATTGTTTATACTGGTACTGTTTTCAATAACAGCACAGTCTGAAGTTCTTTGCACTTTCCTTATTTATGATGGTTTTACATAGCCATGCACTTTGTAAATGCACTGAAATGAGAATGAAGTCAAAGAGCTTAAAAGCCATCACCTAAGCATAGTCCACATAACTGAGTACAACTGAATATATTTTTTAATAATCTTACTGATGGAAGTCAAGGAATTAATACCATGTTATTTTCAGTGTATCTAATTAAATTCTTTTTCCAATCCTGCATCTCAAATCACTGGGTTAAAAACTGCATCGCACTTTATCTTAGTCATATCTCAGGTTGTTGTTGGTGGCCACACATAAAGAATGTGGTGCAAGGAGACTGATATAGTTAAAAAGAAGACACTAGCATTTCAACAGGCATGTTCTGTTTCCTCACACTGCAATTAGTTTACACATGGTGTGGAAGGATAGGGATATAATCCTTTAAAATATTTTTAAGTTCTTTATATAAAAATACATGCACACATCTCTGTGTTTTATGCATGCAGAACTTTAAGACTATCAGTCACCTCATTTTTCACCGAAACAGCTGTGAGTCTTGTGAAAGTGTAGTCCAGGGACTTTGCTCAAGTTTCTCTTTTCTTCAGTCTCCTATCGCAGTACAAATTCTCAGAGCATGCAACAGCATCAGCTTCTTCACAGGCTGCCCTGTAATTTTTTCTTTTGAAAGAATCTGCCAGATGGGGTTGGCACCCAAATTGTTATAGTCTGTGCCCAAGATGTTGAACATCTTGTGCTCGGCACCAGTGAATGGACTATCTTACACAATATTAATGCTGATAGGGATTATTCAGAGCACAGCTGCACAAGGAAGAAAAAAAAAACCCACAAAAGTAATAATTTTAATAAAACAAGTAGCTTTCAAATTAATGTTAGGCCTGAGAAAGAACAGTGACCTTAGAAAGACTGCAAATACATTTTAGTTGGAATGCGTGCCATTTGAAATTTAATTTCTGCCAGTGTTGGAAACAAGCATCCTATTGCTCTGTATTACAGTTAGCATGAAAACCCTTATAGCTGTTGCAAAGGATTTTACTTTTCAGAATATACAAGAAAAAGATGACATTGGCAATAAAATGTCAAAGTGCCATAAAACATTAAGATTTTGTGAGATTTTACTGTAGCCTCAAAATGCTAGAGATACGGAATTTATCAAGAAATTTTCATAATAGTCCCCACCCTGTAGGTGTTTCCTACTTCCATGACTTCTTATCTTTATTTTTTATCAGTGAAAATGCTTCACTGTTCATGTCTTATCACAAGAGACGATAAAGTACATGAGCACACTCATATTAGAACCTAACTATGCAATGGAATATACTCTTTTCCCTGAAAGGCAGCAGCATATTGTAAGAGGCCATGCAACTTCTTGAATGAATATTTAGAGAAATTTCACAAAGGCTGCTAGCAACAAATAAAATTACTTAAATATATATACATGTAGACAGTGAGAACCTAGCCTTATTAGAAGGCAACTTCTGGAGACTAATGTGATAGAGAACTGTTTGGTAGGAAATAATTTCACTAGTACCAACAGCTTTTTTTTGTAAACTGGGTTGATTTTTGTCCTCCGATATTCAAAGCCCATAGATTAAATGCTAATGGAGAGCTTATGGCTCTCTCAGACAAAAAGTGTCTGAGGAGCTTTCACTCAGCAAAAGAACTTTGAACTTCTTCAGCTACCACTATAAATGAAGTTATTCAATGCCAAAACATCCAGTATCCTCTTAAAAACTTCTTCTGGGGAGATCAGTGGCATGAAGTTTTGAGTGGGATTTTAATTTTTATTTTTTTAGTGCTTAATACAGAGCACTGGCCTGATAAGAAGCAATCTAACAGAAGGCTGACACTGGAACCTACCTGTAAAGACAGAGAATGTCTTTCATGCGCAGTCAGAAATATTACAAACAGCAGATGTAATGGTTTTTCCAGAATACTGAAAGAGACGTGTAGAACAGTAATAAAACAAAACAGAAGCTGAATTATAGACGTTGTTCTCAGTGCTATCCATCCCTCTTTCTCAGGGAGTCTCAAAATTTTACAAGACCATTTAATCCACTATCTACCTGCTCAGTATGCATTTGTGTTTGCGTAATGTTTGGGCTTTTTTTAATACAATATGCAAATGTAATGTTTTATGGAATTTAAATGTATGTTTCCTCCTTGAATTTCTTTTCATGCATCTGTTAAGCTAGGGAAAATATACAGAAAAACTTGATGTCAGCAGAACTGAGGAGGTCACAAAGATGTTAGGGTTCGCTCTAGAACATTAATATGTTAGTATGTTTAGAATAAACAGTGGAAAAAATATTGTATAAATAGATTTAACAACTAATCTTTGAATGAATTTTTATTTCTTTTCAAAAGTTCTGTTAAACTAAGATTGAAATGTACGTATTGAAACTTGTTTCTTCTTTCAGGTCCACACGCAATTGCTTTCCGTCTCAGAGTCTACTTGATATTCTGATAAAAACAGGATAGATATAGAATGTGTTCATTTTGAACATCATCAGTCAGTCTTACAGTGACAAACACTGTCTGTCTGTCTAAACACTGTAAGACATTAATCTTGCCTTAGCCTTACATTACACTAAATCTTTGTTGTCCTGTACACTGCACTTACACCAAGTGATCATCATCTGGTCATTTTATCAAGCAAACAGCACTGTGCCTCTCACTTTCTTGT